TTGTAGTGTTTTAGTGAAGGTCCTACTGGTCCTATATCTGGTGGTATTCCTGAATATGTAGTCATGAACACTAACATGGTCTAATGGCCAGAGCATTACTGCACATCCTGGGAAGTTTAGGTTTAGACTTTAACTCAGTGGATGACTTCAGTTCCCCCACCTGTGGAATGAAAATGACCAGTCATATGGAAATAAGAAAATGACTTTCTTCTTCCAAAGAATTCACCTACTTGCCTCTCCTATTTTAAATTATCCATCCGTTTCCCAGCTCTACCCCAATTATGTTTGACTGCAGTTGAAATCAGCAGCAATACATTTTTAAAAAATGCAATATGTATCCAACAGCTCAAAAATTATAGTCCTCTCAGGCATGTCAGCAATACTATTAAACAGATTTATCCCTATAAGTTCGGCCAAGGTTACAAGCAATGCCGCATAGAAGCTTTGAGAGGAGAAGGAGAGGGCAGTGAAAACCTCTTTTAATTACAAATAAGTTTTCTCTGGACTTTCTGTTACAAGTGGAAGGAAAGGAAGGAAACAACAACAAAAATTTAATTTAATTTAAAAATATAGTGCTATAGTTGCTACAGGGCGGGGGTGTTTTCCACAGCAAACATGATAAGCATGGAAATAATACCCACTAGATTGCAGACTGTACATTTGGTCTTGCCAGCAGTGTGAACTGATCAGATAAATGGCAGTAGGGCATACTCATACGCAAAGCACATTTTGGAGCTGAGATGAGAATGTCTGATTCCTTGAAATTAGAGTAAATTTTGTGCATTGCAACTTCAGCTGTGTGTATATTTCAACACTGATTCAAATATTCAGAAAACATTTTCTTGATACAATTTTACTTCAGAATATACCTGGAAATTTCCTTATTTGAATTTTGCACAAGTCAAAAGGTCCTTGGACTTGGAAAGCTGTTGCTTCTAATCTACACAGTTCTTCTCCTTTTAACTGTGGGAATTTTGGCTCTTTTTCCTTTTTTGCCTGCCAGTGAGTTTTGCACACCAATCAGCTACATCCACTTATTTCAGCTGTTTCGCACTTTTTTTTCCTGCCAAATAAGTTATTGATCAATGGTTGACAGTTATCTCTGTGAATTTATGTACCCATGCCATAATCACAACAAAGATATTGCACCAATCAATTACATCCATGGCAGGCAAACACTTTTCAGACATGAGATTTTAAAATTAGTGATGGGCAGAAAAAGAATAGTAATTGGAATTTTTAACATAGAACTTATTCTAGTATGAGAGTCTTACAAACCACTGTGTGTGTGTGTGTGTGTGTGTGTGTGTAAGGAAATCACTTCTCTGGGACTAGTATAAGTGATATTGCATGAATAAATGGGTTAAGGAGATAATGTTTAAGGGCAAAATATTACTGGTCAGTTTTGCCACAGTAACTAGGATTATACTGTTTATTTAATTTATTTATTTGTTTATTCAATTTGTATGCCGCCCATCTCCCCCGACGGGTGACTCTTAGCAGAACGTAATCTCAGATGTGATTTTTTTTTAGAATAATATAATTAATAGCTTGTGGAAGTGAGTCCTTAAATGAAGTACTTTAATGCATTAACTACATTGAGCTATCCAGATATATCATTTTTAATGGGCTGTCATTTTACCTTCATAGCTTATGTTTGTCATTTTACCTTCATGGCTTATGTTTCCAAAATAACTAAAGGCATTAAATACCCTGCTCGTTGGGATCTGAAACCTGAACAAGGAAATAGCCATTATCTGCTGGTCTTTGCTTTGCATGTGTTCCCTTGTGAAGCCAATTATGGTATATTAAGTAGGATTTTAAGAATAAAATACTTTCCTATATTGCTTAAGCTGCTCCAAATAAACATTTAAATTATTTCACTGTAACAGTGCAATTACTTTTTCCTTTGTTCACTGAGTATATTTTTTGAAATTTGTCCAGAATGTCAAAATATTTGTCCAATATTTGTCCAAAATGAGCCCAACCTTTGAATTACATTTTGGACGATACTAATTGTGACTCTCTCTCTCTTTTTTTTTTTAATCAAGTACAATAGACCTCTTTCTTGAATTGAATTCTATCCTTAAAACTAAGGTCCACAAATCAGAAGAAGATAGAACCTTTGAAAGTTTATAGTCCAACACAAATTAAGGAAAAATGGAGGAGGTCTCTTATGGATGACCTGTGTTAGGACTGAGATAGGGAAGGTGCAGCTTTACTGGTCCTCCTTGTTCTCTCAGTGGCCTTCAATATCATCAGTCATAATATTCTTCTAGACTGCCATTGGGGGTTGGGAGTGGGGGCCGTTATCCTGCAGAAGATTTTTTCCTTTTTAAATGGGCAGGACCAGTCAGTGTTATGGGGGGAGATGTTGAGTCCTAGAGCTCTTCACTGTGGGATGCCATAGGGCTCGGTGTTTTGGTTTGCCTATTTAACATCTAAATGAAACTTCTATATGACAAGATGGAGCCAGGTAGCATCAGTATGCTGATGATGCTCAGTTTTACATCTCAGCTGTAGGGCAAACATGAGATGTGGTCAAGGCCCTGTCCGCATCTACAACATGTGCAGTTTTCAGTAGTATACTTTAAAAGCTCTGGAATGCCATAAATGCAGAAATTGGTTTGTTTGTTCATGAGATTTATAGGCTGCCCCAATTTGCTTTGATTCTGGGCAGCTTACAGAATAGAGCAATAATACACAGTAAAAATAAAGAATTATATCATCAAAAAAGAAAGTGTGGGGGAAAAAATCCACAGTCATCTGAAAAAGCAAAGGATCACATAAGGGTTCTATCACCCACTCTGACACAGGGCCTGGGAACAGAGCCAGGTTTTAAGGCATTATTTAAGTTGTATGAATCTTGGGGGGAATGATGTTCCAGAGAAGAAGTAAAAACAAGTAAATTTCATGAAGGGACTGATATTGTTTGAAATTGTAAGGTATAATGGTATGTGGAAATGACCTTGGGAGACAGGAGGGAGAGCTGCAGACTGGACAACTGGCATGTAAAAGATGTCTCAGCCCATAGAAAAGGAGGGGGGGTGGCGGCGTGGGAAACCTTCCCTAGTTTCTGGAGAGTAAAAGGAAAGGAGGGAGAAATACTTTCAGTCTTGCAAGATTCTGTTAACATAATCTTAAAATAAAGATAGAGCTAGTACTTCTGGTTGTACTTCTTGCCTGGACTACCTGCAGGGCTAACATAAGGTCAAATGTTGAAAGATTTCTGTTGTATTATGTTCATTTTTAAAAAACCAAGTTTTAATAGGAATTCTAATGTAACTCCAATAGAAGAGTAGGACAGAAAATTTCAATAATAGGGTGCTGCCCAAGGAAAACTGTGGATCTTACAAGAACTTAAGAGAAAAACTTTATCCCTTAAAACTGGCACCCACAAATCACACACATCCTTAATTCCATGCAGCATTAGGCCTCATTTTATAAACCCCAAGAAGAGTGAGAGACTGGTGGTGATAGTGCACAAATGGAAAACTTTCTTTTGTGCTGTCCCTTGTCAGACACAGGCACCTGGTTATTATTATTTTTTTTTCCTGTAGATCAGTAGCACTTTATAGGAAAAGGGCTATGTTCCCCCTTTTTCCATGTGTCTGGCTAATCCATTGGCCATTGTAGTGTGAGAGCTCATAGTTGTAATGCAATTGAGATGAAGCACCTCAAGTTACACATAGGGTCACAGAAGACCTATAAGACAGTCTGGTCTTTGAAAGTATAATTTTGGTGGTCAAGGTATGATATGAGGTTGCACAGATTTTGTTTCTTTCTCAAGGCCCTCAGTTCCTGTTCCCTTGTTGCTTAGTATCTTCCTGTTATGTTCTTAATCAGCCGTTTCCATAAACAGGAGACAAAACACCGGGGGGGGGGGGGGAATCCAATTTTTTTTTAATCTTTTCAAATGACTATATTTGGGGTAAGGGGGAATAATTGAGTAATTATTTCATCAGAAAAATGTCCTTTTTGTGACCCCAAATTGGGGTCATAGATATGGCATCATATCTAGCTAAGAATATTTATTTAGCTGCATGACAATATTAAGCCATATAAATGGTACAATTGCACTTATTCCAAAATATAGCAAAAATACAGTTTTCTTAGTAGATTACATTTCAGATATCTGCATGCAGGCCATACATTTAAAACTAGGTTTTTCAGCTAACACCCCATCTCATCAGGGATGTTAGAGGCAGCATTCCTACAAGATGTTTAAAATGAAATAAACATGTAAATTCTCTCACATTTTAAGAAGGGAATTTCATGAGGTTTCATTATTATTTAATAATCTTTTATTTCTTTTCATTGCTGTTTCAGTATTTTTTCTTGATGGAGAAGATTTGAAAACTAGCAGTTTCAGTGAATGTAAATGACCTTAGTGCTACTTATCTATTTAAGAAACAGGATTTGGGGATGCATGATGTGTCAGGCAGATGACTTTGTCATAGCTTAGGATATATTTATTGTATAATATTTGCCATAGACACTATTTTATTTTTCATCCCTAATATTGATTTTCCATTTATGCTAAAATGCTCTACTTTTTTCCTTAATTAAACAATGGCAATGTACAATTCTGAAACTTTTAAAAAATATTAAAATGTTTGCAAAGTTTTTGAAGTGATCTTTATTACAAAAAAATAAAGAGAAAATTACCTTTTCTATAGCTTTTTAAGAAAAGAGTTTGATTTTTGAAGCTTTCTGGGCAGAGAACTCTTTATTACTTATTACATGATTGCATAGTCAGTCCAGAAGTGCTTAATATCCTCCCATTTTTAAAGAGCCCAATGATTATTGTAAGCACATCAGGTTTAAAAAGGGAAAATGAAAAGGCAGAAGAAGACTTTCAGCATTTCATAAAGCCAGCGCAACTCCCATCTTACTTTGGATTTGGCAAGCTGAATGTTCCTACATATGTTTAATAACTTTTTGGTGTATCTGACAATTTTCAACAAGTAGTCTAAACTAAATCCTACTTTGCCTTTCAGCTCAAGTTCAGACATCATAAGAGATTTAGAAATTGCTGGGATGTGTTCAAGCTCGTCAGATAAGTAAGTGTGAAACAAGATTATTGTTTTCCATGTCATAAAAGTTATCATTGATTTATTTTTGTCACTTGGCTAGCAGGAAACTTGGCCAATGTACCTGGAAAATATGCTAACTGTTTTGGCTTGGATTTAGAGAACTGCATCAAAAAAAGATTTGGTTGCAGGTAAGCTGCCTCCTGATTGACTGAAGGTCAAGTTCCTTCCACTCCCTGTTAGAATCCAGAAAAGCTTCTCCTGATGGTTACAATACTATCTTCATTGTGGGATGTTCTCTTGTTCAGGAAGCTGAAAAACAAGAAAAGGAAAAAAAAAAGCCTAGAATAAATATGTTTGCTTCTGTTAGCAATCCCTATCTTTTCCTCTGCCTTCTGTGTTATATTCCATTCCATTTAAGAGGGGTATTCTGACCTTTCAAATAGAGCTTTTGGCAGTAACAAGGTTTGCCAAAGAAGGAGGAGACAGCAAAGCCAGTTTTTGCTTATTCATTTCTGCCAGTGCTTCTCAGGATCAAAGCTTATATGACTATATCATTTTATTTCCAGGACCTCATATTTTAATTGTTGCTTCTCTCCCTTCTGAGATTATAAACAGGCTGTCCAGTCAATGAAGCCTTAACACTAAAAGTACTAAAACTGTCTTACCTCTCCATTATCATGTTGCTATTCTTATCCTCTTGGGGCTCTTCCTCATATTGACAGTAATGTCCTATCCTCCCATCCTTGAGTCAGAAAGAAACTGTGTTGATATTAAAAGATTGCCTCCGCAGCCTACCTTGACTGCATATCATCCACAGAGCTGATCAATTTTGCTGCTTGCACATTGTAATGCAGAAGAGTTTAAGGGCAGCAATTGGCAGAATCCTTGTCATCCTTTCCCTTCCCACTCACTTTTATCTACCCATGGGAAATTGCTCCCCTGATATGGTATGATTTTCTTGGGGGGGGGGGCTTTTTAATTTTTAACAGTTCTAGGCATACAATGGTGAGCTGCCTATGCTGTTGGCCACTGATGGGCTAGGTCAGGACAGCTGGCAGCAGAACCATTCTGGGAAAAATGAAGAGTGAGTGGGTGCTAAGAAAGTAAAAATGAGGAAATTGGCCTGAATATATGGAAGAGATGATAAGCCATCACAGTCCCTGGGAACATTGGATTTCCCATTCGGACATCCGTAATGCCAGGGAAAAAAGAGCAATCATCTCTAGCCTAGGAAGGTAGAGGCAGCTGGCAGTCTAGAAAATTTCAGCCCAGGTTGTTTTGTCTTCCAACTATGGCAGGCTAGTCAAGTTCAACTAACTAAAACTCTTTGGGTTTGCAAAAAAGAAGAAAAAGTGGGACACCCTATCCCCGAGGATGGAGGGCTTGCTCTCTAGAAACTGTTTTCCTTATATAATCCTTTGAAGCTGCCTCAGCTAGTTCAGTAGAAACCAATGCTCCAATCACACAAAATCAGCAGCACTCAAGAATCAATTACAGGAGAGGAAACAATAGCCAGCAATTAGCAACCTCTTCCCCTCCTTGGCTATTCCTTTCTGTTCTGCCCTTTCTTCACTCAAACTCCCATGACAAATTCATGTTTAGTTCACTCAGTTTTTATTTGGAAATATATTTACTTTGCTAGAAAAAATATGGGAAGCGTCATCATTCCTAGTTGTCAGGTTTACGCTAGAGTTCAGCATTAAATCTCAGGCTGTCCAATTGCAGAACCTTGTATTCAGGAATAAAAAGCCTCTCAGACATGATTCAGTTATTCAGAACTATTTATAATAGATAAGAATGAAGCCATATACACACAGATTGTTTGCACTGTGAAAAAAAAGTAAAAAACTTTATATAGATCTAGGTGCCAGAGTTTAAACTCTAGGCTTTTCCTCTTGTTTTTCCAAATTAATAGATATTTGGCAGTTCACTTGGTGGCCTTGCACAGCTCAGATGTTTGCATAAAGGTCCTTTCTAGTCTGGGAACCACAAGTTTCCACTTGACTAGATTAGATACCTAATCCAGACTTGAGTATAAGGGCAAAAGAAAACATTACAGATAAGGTTGAGGCTGAAGTATTTGCTTTCTTGTATAGTTTTGGCTTTGGTTATGCAAGAGTGTCCTATGGAAACTTCTCAGTTGCACTGTCTGGCTCAGTTATGTACAGGAGAATATGTTCCCAGCCTATATAACATTTCTTTGTTTTAGGTAGCTCAGAGAGCATTTTTCTTTTTTTGTCTTAATTTAGACAAGCTCATGTGATAAAGATGTTGACTCTTAGAAATGTTCTAAGTATCTCCCTCCTGCTTAAAATGGGCCTATTAACATTTCTCCTGAAATAATGATTAGCAAGAGGAAAAACCAAATTATCTTGACAGGCAGTTTGTACAAAGTGAGAGAGTGATTCCTGGAAATAAATTGAAACAAAATAAAATCAGCATGCATAAAACATTTGAAAAAAATCATCCATAAATTGTTATTACAGAGACTACTCTCTTAAAGTTGTAGGGAGGCCTATTACACATTGTTTGAATTGGCTGTGTTCTTTGGCATATTGAGATTATAGATAGTCCTTGCTTAATGACCACTCGTTCAAACTTACAACAGTGCTGAATGAGTGGTACTTACAACCAGTCCTCGTAGTTGCGGCCGTCACAGCATTCCTGCGGTCATGTGATCGCAATCCGGGTGCTTAATGCTTGGTGACCAGCATGCAATTTCAACATCACAGCATCCCGCGGTCATGCGATTGCCATTTGCAACCTTCCCTGCTGGCTTCTGACAAGCAAAGTCAATGGGGAAGTCGGCAGGAGGTCACAGATGGTGACTATATGACATTGCACTTAACAACAGTGTGAATTCACTTAACAACAGCAACTGGAAGTGATGGAACTGCCGTTGTTAAGTGATTCAACGGCAGTTGCTTTATGGCTGTGTTGCTTAGCGATGGAAATTCTGGTCCCCATTAATGAGGACTACTTGTAATAGTAAAATTGAAGCTGAATTTATGAGTGCTTTTCTTTCTTGCATAGTATGCCACCATTGTTTCATTAAAAATGGGGAAATGGAATATAACTGAAAGATGGAGTACAGTACAACTCATATTTTAATTTCTTTGTTGGGATTTTGTTGCTGGTGGAGGATAGATCAGTAGAGCCAGAGATATTGTTGAATTATATCATGAGTACAATTGTGTATTCTTTTTTTTAATTGTTTAGAGTTTTAGAAATATTTAGTTTTATTCCATAAGCAAGTAACTAATCAATTCTCTCCCAGAAATCTGGTTACCACACATATGGAAAAAGTACATTTTGATTTCTGCAAAGATAGTAATTTTGCCATAGTGTTATTAAATTCATGTTTAAGAACTATGACCTATCTTTGTTCCAGGTAAGTTTACCATCTTATTAAATTAAAAGTTTAATAAGTTTAAATTTACTACAAAAATTATTGTTTATGCCTTTTAGATCCTTTCAATTTATGAACCCAGTTCATATGTTGCACTAAACTGCAAAATTATGGCATAAGATGTTGTATGAATGTTGTGATTTATTCAGTAAGCTATGGATAAAGAAAGTGCAGCTTAGTATGCTGTGTGATTTGTAGACATAGTCACTTTGTATAGTCTAAAACAGAGTTTCCACCAAATTGTTGCAAATCTGTAATACATCTATATTAAATATTACAATGTATTATAGATATGTTGATGAAGATGTACTAATTTGGGCAGATGAAATCATTAGAATAACTGAGGGTTCTCAAACTCTGTGGGGCTGTGACCTCCTAAAATAACTTTTTGAACACCTTTCTCCCCATGAATAAAAATATCAGACCATGGTCAGACACAGCTGCTGCTAGGGCTCCCATCAGGCAGTATCATTCTCCTGTAAGAAGAAGAGGTGCAGTGCTCAGATTGCCTGGAATGGGAGTGTAGGCTCAGCACCAAGAAGAACTCACTCACTCACTCATTCACTTACTCACTCACTAACTGGGAAGAATTGTTTTTGGAAGAGGGGAAGGTAAGGCTGAACAAAAATAGTTCAGTCCTGATCTGGTCATCTTGGGCAGCACTCAGGAGTGGGTTGGGGCTTGTGCAGGAGCTACTGCTAGAAGTGCAAATGTTGCAAAAGGAGAGACCTGTATCTGGATTCCACAACTGGTTTGGGCCAGAACCAGCAGCTTGGCAAAGGTCATTCACATCCAGGCACAGGATCAAATGCAGCCCTTCTCTCCCAGGTTTATTTATGGTTTCCTAGGAAGTCACAACCCACACTTAGAGAACCCCTGCAGCAACTATTTTGTCATGGAGATAATGAAGAAAAATTGCTGCTTTTTCTTTCATTTTCATTTATAACAAACTGCCATTTATGCAAGCTACTGAGGAAATCCTAATTTTGTTTTTAATCTTGTCCAATTCTACTTTACTTACACTTTAAAAAAAACATTTTTTGTTTTTTTATAAAGGAAAGCAACAATTTTGGATGGCAAAACTTTTTATAGACCTCTCCTCACTAGAAATTTCCTAGAAAGCAATTTGAATGCTAGAGACCTTTCACGCTTGGATTTGATGATTCAAGAAAACCCAGCTGAAAAGAAAAATTGGCAAACAGAAAAATCTTTTTGGAGTATTAAGTAGCACTTTGGATCATTCCCCATATTCTCTGTGAGAAATATTAAGGTTTATTAAAATTATAATAATTTCTATTTGATTTGAACATCTAATCTAAGTCATTGCCCAGAATATGAGATTTACAGACTTTGTAGAGGAAGTGGTGCTATGTTCAATATCAGGATAGTTTTTTCCAGTCTTCCAAAATGCATTTTTAACAAAGAGGCACATTATATGAACAACTGCTTACTGTTTTTAGAACTTAAGGATTCTTAAAAAAAAATAGTCCCTTTCTTGTATGCCAACAACTTTCCAAATTAGCTTGATAAGTAGTTTGGCTAATGGATGTTATACAAGAAAAGCTCTTTTAAACTTGAGTTATGTTTCAAATTTTTGTGATTTAAAATAAAGGTCATC